TTTATTTTACAAACAATATATTTCTACAAAGCTAGTAGTACTACAAACAACGAACACAATATTCGTCGATCTTAAAAAAAATTATTTTAGGGCAAAAAACAATAAAAAACGAAGAAAGCAAATACAATAATCTGATCCCCATGACTGCAAACGTGCGTATCACTCAAACTTTTTCGTGCTCTACCGATCGCATGTGACGAGAGTCGTACAAGACGAGGAGATTTGCAATTCTAGACGACTACTAAACACCCCGTGTGTGTAGCTCATTACAACAACGAGGGAACTTGGTCGGTGCGGAGAGACCTACGCGATTGAAATCGAGTTGACCAGTTCGAGCGTCGACCCATGTGCGGACGGCCTTAGTTTTAGATGTGTCAGGTCTTGTCTTTGCCTCGCCGTGTATATTAATATAGGTCTTATTATTATATTAATTGCTGGTTTAGAGATTCTTGTTTTTGTGTCTTGTCTTGGGTGTTTACTCTTCCAGATTGTGTCATTAAGGGAGAGCGCCCACCAAAGTGACGTGGCACGTGGCACGTGGCAAGTAGCAAGTAGCACACGTCTAGCATGTTACATAAAATGTAACCAACGCAAACGAATGATTAGAGCGATTGACGTCACTGTCATTTTGGTGTACGCTGAATCATTCGTTTTTATTGGTTACATTTTAAGTAACATGCTAGACGCGTGCTACTTGCTAGTTGCCTGCCATGCCACTTTGGTGGGCGCTTTCACTAAGAGATTCCGCCACTTTACGTGCTTTTAAGCTTTGTTGTCGTACTTTTTCTTTAATATCTCCGTAACTAGTTATATCTATTCTCAGATATCTAAACCTTGTTTCCTGCTTTATTATTTCCCCATCAATTTCGATTTTACATCGTAGTGGGTATTTAGATGTAATACATTTGGATTTTACAACTGATATCATATTGACCAGACGGTCAAATAAAAAACCAAATTGATCCATGTACTAATTATTGATAGTCGACATTTCTCGGACGTACTAGATGTAAGATCATGTAGAGGTGCTAATATAGACTCTGGCCACTACCTTGTAAGAACAAAACTCAGGGCTCATATATTAAACGCTAAGAAGGACCAGAGCACAAAATCTACGAAATATAATACTAAAATCTGAAGACGCTAGGGATAAGTACAGAAAAAGTTTAAATGAAGAGCTGACAAGAATCGACGAAAATTTAAGTAAAAAAGAAAACTGGATCAATTGCAAGGACGCTATCCATACCATACAGCGGCTGAAGGCTTTTTAAAACCTAACCGGGCTAAAATAAACTAAGATTGGTTTGACCAAGAATGTAGATCCATTAACCAACAGAAAAATGAAGCATATAGGAGACTTCAGCAGCGCAGAACGAGATCAAACCTGGAAGACTATGAAAATCTTAGACGAAAAGAAAAAAGGAACGTTTAGAAGGAAAAAGAAAGAGCCATATGAAAACGCTCTAAACGAGATGGTTAACCACCACAATAGAAAGACTCGCGAAAATTATACCAGAAGATAAACAGCTGTAGAAAAGAATTCAAACCGAAAATAACAGCATGTATGGTTAGAGATGGTTCCATAGTTATTGACAAGAACAGATATTAAAAAGGTAGACCAATTATTTTGAAGAATTTCTTAGCGACAGTCGTGACGAAGACCAAATAGAAATTACTTTGAAATGGATGAAAGGGATGAAAAAGCTCAAGAGTCGCCCTCACCGAAGAAGAAATTAGAGAAGCCATTTCAAATCTGAAAAATAACAAAGCCCCTGGTTTGGACAATCTTCCTGTCGAACTTTTTAAAAAATGGTGGTGACACCCTTTTTAAACACATGCATAAATTAGTAATCTAAATCTAGCAACGGAAGGAAACGCCCGCAGACTGGAAATAATGTCAAATGCACCCTCTTCACAAAAAGGGAGATATGATGGTGTGTGATAATTAAAGGCATCACCCTACTTAACGTGGCATAAAGTATTGTCCAACGTATTGTACGAAAGATTGATCCTCTATGCTGATGAAATAGTTGGAAACTATCAGTGCGGTTTCCAACCCAACAAATCAATAACGGATCAAATCTTCACAGCCAGGCAGATTCTTTAGAAAACGCTTGAGTTCGGAGTCGACACCCACCACATATTCGTGGATTTTAAAGCCGCAAACGACTCAGTCAACAAACAAAAACTTCCACAGGGTATGGTGGAATTTCAAATGCCGCTTTATCTTGTTCAACTAATGGAACTTACACTCACAGGCGTAGAGAGTGTAGTCAGAACGACTTTTCAAGATCCTTCCATTGTAAAAATGGACTGAGACAGGGAGATGGACTGTCATGTATCTTATTTAACCTTGCACAAAAAAAGTAATTCGGAAGTGCCATATGAATACGAATGTCACTATCTTTAATAAATCTGTACAAGTGGTCGGGATATGCAGATGACATAGACATTATTGCTATTAATGCTTGAAGCATTTCGATCATTAAGGGCTTCTGCACTGAGAATGGAATTAAAAATAAACGCACAGAAAACCAAGTACATGGATTGTACTAGATCAGGCAACCAGATACCTAGACTATTAATTGATGATCTGGAACTGGAAGGTGTGGACACCTTCGTCTACCTGGGCTCGCTGCTGACCATAATAAAAATGTCAGCGAAGAAATTAAAAGAAGAATAGTGCTTGCCAATAAGTGCTATTATGGTTTGAGGAAACAGATGGCCCCAAAACTACCCAGAAGAATTAAAGTTACCATATTATATAAAACACTAATAAGGCCAGTGTTAACATACGGGTCAGAAACGTGGTCACTTACACAGAACGACCAAGAAATGCTTAAACGTTTCGATAGAAAAATTCTAAGGAAAATATATGGAGGAGTCCAAGAACAGCGTTTATGGCGTAGGCACTACAACTTTGAGTTATACAGAAGTTTTGGAGAACCTGACGTTGTAAAATGTATTAAATTAGCACGCCTTCGATGGATCGGACATGTAATTAGGCAGGATGAAGATGAAATGATCAGAAAAATTTTCGACCGAAGAGGAAGAGTGGAAGACGAGCCAGAGGAAGACGAGCCAAAGGAAGACGAGCCAGAGGAAGAACAAAACTTAGGTATCAAGATAGCATCGAGGATGATCTAAAATCCATCGGAGTTAAAACATGGAGAAGAGTTCCCAGAGACAGTGGCGAATGGAAGATTGTTCTGAAGAAGGCTTTGGCTCATAGCGAGCTGTAATGCCACTGATGATGATTATCATATTGTATTTCTTGGCTGTTGTATTGACGATGTGTGTTAATCTTTGGAGCTTATCTTCTGTCCCCATTCTGTAGCCACGACCTTTACATACTGCTTGTATTATTTCGTTCATTATTATATTAAAGATAAGTGGGCTTAACGAGTCACCCTGTCTGACTCCGCTTTGTACTGGTACACTCTGTGTACCATTGTACATGTAGTTTTCCATTTATGTTTGCCTGCCTTCTATTACGGAAGTAGATGTTTTCGATGCTTTGTATAATATTGATTGGTATGATTCTTTGATACAGTAAGTGTAACACGTCTTCGACTTGGGTGCGATCGAAAGCCTTTGTCAGGTCTATAAAACATAGATGTGCTATTTTATTGTACTTGATGGCCTTTTCTGTGATTTGTCTTAGTATAAATATAGCTTCTGCGCAGAATCTTCCGAATCTGAATCCTTGTTGTTCATCTGATAAAGTTGTTACTTGATTTTGTTGGTTATAACTTTTGTGGTAAGCTTAAGTGCGGTGTTTAGTAGAATTATACCTCTATAATTGTTTGGGTTAAGGTTTCTAAGGCAGATGAAAACCTACTGCTTATATTTGAACGAAGGATCATGAGAAGAAGAATATTCGGTGGCATCTGTGAAAATGGTGTTTGGAGAAGGAGGTACAACTACGAGATATATCACAGATATAAATATATATTTGGTGGTAAAGACATAGTATTTCTTATGAAAATAGAAAGACTAAGATGGGCAGGACATCTGGCAAGATCACAGCAGAACAACCCTCCTGGAAGAAAGGAATGTCACAATCTGTGAGAAGTAGAAGTAGGGGCAGACCAAAACTCAGATGGAGGGATGGTGTAGATGAGGATGGTAGAAAAATAGGCGCAGCAAACAGGCAACAGTTGGTCATGGATAGAACTGACTGGCATAATAGACTTGGGAAGGTCAAGGCTGTTTTATAGGGCTGTAGCACCAATGATCATGATGAATTGTTGGGGTCTTCTTTATTTCCTTTTTTGAACATTAGTATCAGCATGTTGTTTCTCCATGTGACTGGTATCTTACAGTGCAATATTAGTTTTTGTATAAGTTTTGTCATCTCTAGGGTTATACTTCTCCTCCATGTTTTCCACTTCTCCAAGCTCGTTGGATATTCCGTCTGGCCCTGGTGACTTTCTATTTTTGAGTGAAATTATTCCGTCAGTTATCTTCAGTTTCGTCAGGTATCTTTTCCATTCGTTTGCTGGTATGTTATTGTATTCCTTCAATTCTGCCATTTCTTTCTGTTGGTTTCTAATAAATCTCCATATTTATTTTTGTGCTATTGCTTGATAACAAATTGACTGGTAACATTATATCTTATTAGGCCCTGGTTTTCTATTAACCCATATTTAACCGGTAACTGTAATTATCAGAAAAATATTTTTAAAAACGTGTTTTTGGCAATAAATTAGTGTAATTAAAAAAAAACTGAAAAAAAATTGGAAATGTTTTATTTTTTATATAGAAAATAGTGCGTTTATGCACAACTGGTAAATACCATTAATTTTTTAAAAGTTTTTCTTATTTTTATAAAAGCATAATCAGCTCTTCTCGAAAAAAATTAGTTCAGTTCAAATCATGGCTCGCAAGAAACAAACCGGTTTGAGCTAGAAACTCATCTCGTTAAACGAGCCAAGCCAAGTTCGAGCTTGTGACCATCCCTATTTCCTTTTTTTAAGTGTTTTCTTTTTACGTTTCAGAGTGGTAATGCCTTACTGTATACGAATGCTAGTTTCGTATTTGGAAGCAGGACAGACCCGAATAACGAAAGATGAAGCGTTAATTTATGCAGCTGCACTTGTGATTACACTTTTACTAGATGCTGTGATGCAACAACCAAACTATATGGGCTTACAACACATCGCCATGAAGATACGGGTGGCGTGCTCGTCTTTGATATATAGAAAAACTTTGAGGTTTAGCCGAGAAGCTTTAGGTAAGAAACCACATTACATAGAGGACTGATCTCATTGAGTAGATTTATTTATGTCTGTATCTTGATTTTTTCAGTATATCACCATTAGTGTAAAAAGTCTGGAAACGTATTTTTCTCTTTTAGGAAATACTACTGTAGGTCAATTAGTAAACTTATTATCCAATGACGTAAGCAAATTTGACCAGTTATTTGGTTTAACTCATTACGCCTGGATAGGGCCAATCCAAGTTGCTCTTGGGACATGGCTGTTGTATAGAGAAATTGGAGTGAGTGCCTTTTTTGGTATGGCGTTCCTAGTGTCGTTCGTCCCACTTCAAAGTAAGTATACTATTACGATTTTACTGTTATAGAGGTTAACATTTAATGGTTTTATGTGTGTAGTACAAAAGACCTCACTTAGGACTCGTTTGACCTCTGGTGTCACAAGGATTAGGTCTTGAGCAGGTCTGGAACAGGTACAATAGGAACAACTTTCCAGATCTGATTGGGATCTGTTCCAGAACTGATCAAGACCTGTTATAAACCGGATCAAGACCTGTCTGAGACCCGATACTTATGACGCCAGGGGTCTGGAACAGGTACAATAGGAACAACTTTCCAGATCTGTTTGGGATCTGTTCCACAACTGATCAAGACCTGTTATAAACCGGATCAAGACCTGAGACTCGATCCTTATGACGCCAGGGGTCAAAGGTTAAAGTGGTCCCAAGCGAGGTCTTTTTTACTGTTAATATAACAATAACTCCAAACTATAACGCATACAGTTCACATTCTAAGGAGGTTTATAGAATTACAAACGTAACAGGAAAAATCATTGGAAGGAAAAAATTTATCCGTATTTTGGAATGTAGCGCAAACATTTAATACAGAATAGCATGAAGGCCTTATTTAAAAATTGAAAGTAATATTTCCTATACAATAATGTCATAGAGAGCGAAAATATTACATAGTGCATTTTTTAAAAAATTTTAACCCTTTCCTTTCCCCTATAACCCACCGTTACATTTTTCTGTACTATTTCTCTATACTTAAACGGTACGTAACACCCAACTGACCATTTTTACCTAAAAGTAACAATTATGCTGCAAAAATTATAATTGAATAAATGGGACCTTTCGTCCAAACTGGAACACAAAAGGAGACTCCATACTATGATTGGATGACTTCCATATTAGGATAAAAGTCGCCTCTAAATGAAAATGAACTTAGATTCCCAATGGGATAAACTTGGACTCCCAACATGTGAGAGATTTTTTTAGATTTTTCTCGATAACGGTAAGTTTTATCAAAAAAAAAACCTTGAACTAAAGTTATAGATCTTAAAATTATCTAAAAAAATAGTCTTTATGATTAAGAGTTACCATTCCTAAGATATTGCGATGATATAACAGATGCAACTGATTTGCGGTGTAAAAAAGATGCTAAAGATATTTATTTAAAAACTTCTAGACTGGATTTCATCACATGATTATTTGCCTAAACTTAATAGAACCGTATCTATTGCTTCTGGAGTTATGGAGACCATATGATTAATGGCCATAAAGCTCGTAAAGTTGGAATTGCTTCCATCCGTCTAGAATGTCAGGTGAAACATTTAATAATATAAAATTAAAACGCTCTAAAAAAGTACTTCTTCTTTTAGCTGCGAGTAGCACCGTGAAAGTTCACGAAGAAGAAGTAGTTATAGATTCTGTATTATGATTTCAACGCATGAGTGTTACTGAAGCTTTTGAGGATGAGATTGAAAAATTTTTGAGTATGAATTAGCTCCGTACCCCTTATAACTTTTAGATGCAGCTGGAATATGTAAAACAACAAAGTCAGCAATTTACGATAGCTTTCAATCAGTCAATAATGGGGTTGATCGTACAAACGATACTTACATTATTGATGGAGGATACCTACTACATTACGTTGTGTGAGATCGAGTAGAAATCTTTAGTGCTATTTTTGATAAATATTGTAGCGAGATTAAATAAAAAACAAGCGGTTCGCATTTATATAAATATATTTATTTATAAGTTTACAGTTCGGTACTATCTTATCAACTCCCCTAACTCATAACATATATATATATATATATATATATATATATACCAAAAGTATTATTCTAGAATTATCTAAAGTAGTACCACCTCTAATTCGTTGTTTGACGTGTGAATTTCTACAGCGCTCGATATATGGCCGGAAAGTTCTCGGCACTTCGAGATGCAACTGTTACATGAGCCACACCGAATGCATGTTCGTAACAATATATTTAGTATCTACGCAAATATTATGGGCTTACAGTGACGGTAGTATTTGACGGCTACAGTGACTCGACAAAGAATATTAAGGCTGTTTTATCTTCTTCTTCTTCTCGTGCCACTCCTAGCGGAGATTGGAAATCATCATGGCCACTGCGACTTTGTTAGCAGCGCGCCTAAAAAGTTCAATCGAACTACACCCGAACCATTCACGTAGATTACGAAGCCACGATATCTTTCTTCTTCCCACACTTCTTTTGCCCTTAATTTTGCCCTGCATGATGTTTCTTAAAAGTTCGTACTTTTCACCTCTCACAATGTGCCCCAAGTATTCCATCTTTCTAGTTTTTATCTCATTTAGAATTTCGCATCTTTTGTCTAAAGTTTGGAGTACTTGCGTGTTAGTGACGCGGTCCATCCATGATATTCTGAGAATGCGCCTATAGCACCATATCTCGAAAGCTTCGATGTTTTTTATGGTCAACTGTTTTAGTGTCCAAGCCTCAACTGCATATAACAGGGTAGAAAAGACATAACACCGCAGCATTCGTATTCATAACTCTCTATTGATATCAGGTGCTGATATTGCATCCGATCATAATCCGCTAATAGCAGATGTGAGGTTAAAACTAGCAAAAATTAAGAGAACAAATACAAATACCAGCACACCTATAAATACAAGAGAACTGATGAGAGACGAAAATCTGAAGAAGAGTTATGCGAATCAAATTAATGAAAAAATGCGAGTAATAGAACAAAATTCTGATATCGAAGAGATGGTCAATGATATTAAAGGAACGATTCTGGCAGTAAACAGGGAAGTTAAAACACAGATCAGAAAGATAAAGCATAACGAATGGATGACGGACGAAATTATGGATCTAATGGAAAAGCGAAGGCAACATAAACAACAACGTAATCAAGACAAATACAAACAGATACACAAAGAAATCCGTCAGAAAATTAAGAAAGCAAAAGAACGTTGGATGGTGGAAAGGTGCAACGAAATAGAACAATTGCAGGAAAAAGGAGATAGTTTTGGACTACATAAGAAGATCAAAGAAATATCGAATATACACAAAAGCCACCACAGAACAAGAATACGCAACGACAGAAACGAATACATAGAGTCAGAAGAAGAGATAGCAATGGCGTGGAAAGAATACGCAGAAAGTCTTTTTAATGACGAAAGACCAACACAACCAACGCGCAAACTTCCTTCCGAAAACTTATTAGGGCCATCAATAATGCGAAGTGGAATATGCAGTTAGAACCACAAAGATGCATAAAGCAACAGGTCCAGATGAAATTAATATAGAAGCAATAAAACTACTAGACGAGAAGAATATCGAAATCTTGGTAAGGCTGTTCAATAGAATTTATGATACTGGTTACATTCCGCGAGAATGGCTGCAGTCATCCTTTGTGATGATCCCAAAAACAGCTAATGCTACAAAATGCAATGAACACCGCTTAATCAGTTTAATGAGTCACTTGTTGAAACTCTTCCTTAGGATATTACACTCAAGAATGTATAAGATACTAGAAGAACTTAGCGGGTCAACACAATTCGGTTTTAAGGGAGGACTAGGAACAAGAGAGGCAATTTTATGTTTGAACACCTTAATACAAAACTGCTTAGATCAACGAAAAGATGTCTACCTCACCTTCATCGACTACGAGAAGGCATTTGACAATGTTAAACATGATATCATGATGGAACTACTACATAGGGCCAACATTGACCAGAAGGAGATCAGAATTATTCAGAATCTATACTGGAACCAAATGGCAAAGGTGAGGATTGATCAAGACCAATATACGGATGAATTTGAAATCCGGAAAGGTGTCCGCCAAGGCTGCTTACTCTCTCCGATGCTTTTTAATTTATATGTTGAAAATATATTTGCGGAAGCATTAGAAGATACGGAATTAGGCATTAAGGTGAACGGCATACCAATTAGCAACCTACGCTATGCGGACGACACAGTGATTATAACTGATAATTTGGAAGATCAGCAGTTATTACTTGATAGGGTGAATAGCATAGGTAAAAAATATGGCCTCAAAATCAACATTTTGAAAACGAAATATATGGTCATTAGCAGAAACCTCCAGAAAACCCGATATTATGCATAGGTGACAATCGTATAAATCGCGTGAAAACTTTTAAATACCTTGGCACCACAATCAATGACCAATCGGATCCACAACACGAGATAAAAACCCGAATACAAATGCCAAGACAAGCTTTTGTGAAATTCAGACCGCTCCTATGTAATCAACACCTAAACTTCGAAATACGCTACAGAATGGTCAAGTGCTACATATGGTCCATCTTGCTTTATGGCATGGAAACGTGGACTTTGAAAAAAACATCTATCAACAAACTTGAAGCATTTGAAATGTGGTCATTGAGAAGAATGATGCGCATACCTTGGGTGGATAAAGTTCGAAACGATGACGTCCTTAATAGAGCCGGCGTGGAAAGAGAACTCTTTGAATTAATTAAAAAACGCAAGATTGGTTACCTTGGGCACATATTGAGAGGAGCAAAATATGAAATACCACAGTTAATCCTACAAGGGAAGATCGAAGGTAGGAGAGGAGCCGGCCGCAAACAATTGTCCTGGTTAAGGAATGTTAAAGAATGGACAGGAATACACAATACAGGTGAGCTGTGTCACGCCGCCAAGAACAGAATTCTAGTAATGAGATAGTCGCCTACGCACTTTGGTGTATGGCATGTTAAGAAGAAGAAGATTGATATCACGATTGCAAAAGAGTTTGCGCATTCTATAAAAGACTGATCTAGCGATTTCTATTCTACATCTAATCTCTTTTGTTTGATCAGTATCGTCTGTGATCCAAGCACCTAGATATTTATAACAGGGCACACGCTCAATCTTTGTATTGTCTATTACAAGATTAGCTCTGATGTTCTTTGATTTCGTGATTACCATAAATTTAGTTTTTTTTTTAAATTAATTTTCAAGCCGTAACTGTTACAGTATATATTGAGACTTTGAACGAGATGTTGTAGTTCTACTAGCGTTCCCGTTAGGAGAACTG